CTCTTCCAGACTTTGAAAGCATGTATTTTAACTAATCTTTTAATGAAGAACAAGTTACAAACCAGCAAGTCAGGTTTCTGTAAGAGGTCGCTTTCTAACACACTGACCCACAGTGTTAACACGGAGTTAACATTTTAATGTGTAGCAATGTGATTAAAAACTCAGACATCCTATTGATGCTGCTATTTACCAGGGGAGTACAAGGAGATTGATTGTTTCAGGATCAGTAATAATCAGCATATGGGTACTTTCTTGTGAAGATAATTGGCACCACGCTGTTCAGAGTTTTACTTTCTTGAAGCCAAGAGAAGCCTGTGATTAGGAATCTGTCTTCTGTTTTAGACTTGCAAGGAAAGTGTGCTTAGAAAGAGTAGAGAAGAATTAATACCAGTTAGCAAGACTGGGAGCTGTACAAGGGATTGAGTCTAGATAATTAAATGATACTTTGTCTTAAGTAACGATGTTGTTATGAGAAATATGTTTTTAGAACAAAGCAGAACTTGTGTTGCAGGACTGTAATTTTCAGAGCTCATTTCCGACGTTTTCAAGAAAGGCTGTATGAGGATAGTCTGTGAGCAGCGTCTCTTCAGATGCCTTTTCTGTACGCCCAAATACCCACTTAGCTCAGTTAAGCATAGAAACAGAGCTAACTTCTCTTTGTATGAAGAAGGCAGAGTGGCTCGGTGGATATGAAAACTTGCACTTCGGACACGGCTCTTGCAGTAGCCTTCCCATGCTACGTGGGTGTCTGAAAATACAGTGTTTGAAAGGTAGAGATGCTGCAACTGCGTACTTTCAGTAGGTGGTAAATTATATGTATATTTTCACGTTACCATTGTGAACAACGGCATGCACTTCTTTCCTGTGTAATGAGATAAAAGTAAATCTAAATACACTGGATTTTTTAAAATTACATGAAGTTATTACTAAATCAAAGGTAATTTTAGCCAGATGTGGAAAAACTCAGAGATCTGTTGTTTAGAGCTTAGCAACACTAACGTGGTCCTCAGCATAACTTGATAACATCACCTGGGGAAAATACTCCCTGACTAAAGACATCATGCCTTTTTTTGTTGTTTTTTCAAAAAAAGGAACAGGCCTCCTCACTACAGCAAACTAAGAAGCAGTTACAGTATTTTTAAAGGACCTTGAATGCCAACCAGTAAAGCCATTAACTTCAAAAATGATACTGTATCCTTGACTTTTTCCTTAGTGCTCTACCGTCTTGTAATTGAATCACATTAATTACCATGTGTCAATATCACCAAAAAGTTCTTTAGTGTTTTACTTAACCCAGGGTAATTGCTTGCAAAGAATCATTAAGATTTAATATCTCTGGAGTACTGGAAATAGGGGAAAAGGTTTTTAAATTTACATCAGCCAAGTAGGATCTTGTATGAGTTAGGGTGGGAAGGGATTCGCTTTCATTGCCCAGCATAGGAAGCTTAATTCTCTTTTCAAAACTCAACATTCAAGGTTTTTTTTCCATGAAGCAAATTGGACAGAAGTGGTCTCACTTGAACATTGTTAAAGCAGTGGTTTGGAAATATTTTAATTCGTCAGCTAAGTAACAGGTGTATTTTTAGAGCATTGAATTACAAGTTCTGTGCTCTGAAAGTAGATGTTTTTATGTGATAAGGTGTTAAAAGTCAGCTCCTAGTTCTTGCTGTGGGTTCGGTGACACAAAGCAGCTGTAATGCTGGAGGATCCAGTACCCTGAGAATTGTGCCTGCCTTGTAAATTAAATCTCTATTCATTAAGAATGCTGAGTACTTCCTACGCTAGTTAAAGCCTATGTAAGATCCCACTGAGGATCTCTGTTATTAATATGTTCAGGAAAAAGCTGGCCCTAGCTTTACTACTGCTGTTTGCATTTTCAGTGGCAATTTATAAAAATTCGTGTACATTATGTTGCATTAGATATTTATAGGAATTATTGTACAAGGTGAGGCTCCACTCAGTTTGACTGCTCCCCTTTATCCTTCACTGGGATACAGGAATGAAATGAAGCATAGCTGGATGCGGCTGCTGGATTCAATCTTCTTCTCTTGGCTTTTCCTCCAATGCCACATACCCTCCTGCTTTTTTTCTAGTTGAGAGAAAATACGGAAATGCGAGTTTGTGAAACTTACAGTGGGGTTAGCTCAGATGTAAGCAGGACTGGGTCTGTGGTTTGCAGCACGTCACAGTGCTGATCACAGGCAGGCATTAAAATACCCAGAGATGGCGATACAAACCAGCAAGGCAAGCCAGCCCCAATTTAGTTTGGCAATGTCTTCTTCACGCATTCCATTTCCCTTTCTCTTTCAGCTCTCTCATACCCATGTGTGAAGTTACATAGTGTAGATGTCTGCAAATCTATTGTTAGGCATCATGACGTTGTGCCAGGTTTCTCTTTACATTGCCTGTCCCTATCCTCATGCCCCTGTTACGCTTTCATGCAGAAAGACCAAGCCAAAACAGATGTTCATTATTTCTTCAAGAATAGATTATCACTACCATAATAAAATCATTAGGAATGGTGATTAATGGAAATCTAGGCTTGGACGTGGGCTCCGACCTACCGGGTTTGGTGGATTTTCTGTCCTCGCCGGTGTCCATTTGTGTAGCTTATGCAGTGCCCATTCGACAGCAGCCTGAAATGGCGCCAGAGGAAGCTCTCCTGCTGCCTTCTCCCTCAGCAGTCTCAGTTGAATGGGTTTTGTTTGCAAAGCTGATAGGTAAAGACCGTGGTTTACGCAGCAACTCCTCTGCCTTTTTATATTCAGTTAAGCGTTCCAAAATTTCCAGGGCAAAACTGTGCTGTGATGCCTGTTGTCATAAATATTGCATACGAGTTTATTTGTATTTTTCAACTAGTTGAATAAAAATTGCGATTGTTTCAGTGAAATGTCCTCTGTTTAGAGGTTATTTTCAATAGATTCCAATATATCTAAGGCACATTTATACCTCCTGACCTATTATCTCCACCCACCATGAATACACAACTGATTGCTTTGTTTGTTTCTGGAAAATCAGTGTTTCAGAAGGGACGGGCCATCGACACAGGAGAAGTTGAGATTGGAGCGCAAGTCATGCAGACAATCCCCCCTGGTTTATTCTGGCGCTTTCAGATTACTATACATCACCCCGTGTACCTGAAATTTAACATTTCACTGGCGAAGGATTCTCTGTTGGGAATTTATGGCAGAAGAAACATTCCACCTACTCACACTCAGGTAATTAGAAATAATATTCTGTCATGCTCACGTTTTCAAAGAGCCGGGGATGTGATGTTCGAAGCCGGGAGGAAGAAGGGACTGGCTGTGAGCACAAAAAGCAGTGTGTCTGTCCCTCCCTTTCCACTGAGGTCTGGCTCTGCCCTCGAGCCGTGCTCTCTGAGAGGAAGGGACAGTGTCACGGCAGAAGGGCCAGCAGTTGTGACCACTGCGATGTGCCTGTCCGGGTGGCTGGACAGGTACACACGGCGCTCCTGTGTAGCTCCAGCTTCTTCTTTGCAGGGGCGGTGGGATGAAGGTATCAGATCATTTGAAAATGCATTAATGTTTCTGTGACTTCAGCAAAACAAGCAGATTACATAGTCAGTATAAAGAGTTAGTAGAAAAAATAAACCCAGCTGTTTCTGGTTTCTGATATGAAGATCATTTTTGAGTGTTTATTCTTAGGGATTTTGCAGGGGAAATCCTAGCTAAGCAGTAAGGATATGTGATATTGCTGGTCACGTTCAAATGGGGTTTTTTTAAGCTTAATATATTTGGCATATGAAGCTGTCACTTCTATGGGTAATAGATTTTTCAGCTTTCTTACAGCAGGATCACACTCCGTAGAGTGTAATAAACATATATGGGATCATGGAAAGATTGTTTAGAAGGGACCTCTGGAGATCATGCAGTGTAACCTCAAAATTATTTACTTGAGTTTTGATCTTACAAATAAGCACTTGTAGCTGTCACTGACTTTAATTGAAGCTGTGTCTTTAGTCAAGCTGAGGTTGAACTTTACTGAAAATCAGAATGCCTAGAAAACCCTAGAGAGTGTTATACACTTCTTGAACGGGGATTCACAGAAATGTTTGCATCTCTGGTGCTCTGAGGTTAACTGGTCTTAAAAGCCATCAGCACCAACTTGGTTAGGTATTAAGAACTTCCATGTAAAAACTAGAGACTTATTTGCATTAATAAAATTAAATATAAATAAAAGTATATTTGAGGTTTGATGTACGATATTGATATCAAGGGACAAGCATTTGAAAATGTGGTATAGAACAATAGGGTTTTTAATCTGTTCTTGGCATCTGAGTTGAACCACTGCTTAACATAAGCACTACAGCTTGGGTATTTTGGAATTATTCCCATTAAAGATATGTAATTTTTGAAGTAAATCTGCTGTAGTTAGTGCAGCGTGTCTGAATTTATCCTGCCATAGCAAACACCAGGTTTTGATGCCGGATTTCTGACCTACCATGATGCTTTTTGTATGGAAACTGAAGCTAGACTAAGCTATGCGACTGCTGTCCACACTGGTGAATACTTAGGCAGTGCCTCTTAAGATTTCAACTGTTTATTCCTGTTTGAATGGGACTTGCGGAGTGGATTCATACAAATTTGCGAGGTGATTAATTTTTGCTCATTCCTATTTCAGTTTGATTTTGTAAAACTGATGGATGGAAAACAGTTAATTAAACAGGAACCAAAAAACTCAGAGGAGCCTCAGCAAGCTCCCAGGAATCTGATCTTAACTTCGCTGCAAGAGACAGGTTTCATCGAGTACATGGACCAAGGAGCTTGGCATATGGCATTTTACAATGACGGAAAGAAAGTGGAGCAAGTGTTTGTGCTAACTACAGCGATCGGTAAGAACAATTATGATAAAATCGTTTTTCTGATTATTGCACTGGAAAGCTGTATTTGAAAAGAAATTATTGACCTTGATTCTGGCTTCTCTTAAGTATTCTCTTAAATGTTTTATTTCAATCTAGCTTAATTAACTTCAGTGGAGCAACTTCACGTTTATGCCGATATTAGACAAATAGCCACATCTGTGTATTGAAGATGGGTGTTATCAAATTAATTGTGAAATTTTCATGTGTGTTAAGTTTTTTATACGATAGCTTAAATGCTTGAGTAATTTCTGGCGTTATCTTGCTCAAAGCAAAAGAGATTATGTCTGCCCTCTCTATTTACATGGGAACCATAAATCCTACCAAAATTATTCAGGCTTTAAGTTCTTATTTCCAGTATTTTAGTCAGTTAGAAAATCCAGAAGGCAGCTTTTGTGGCTTTGGTTGTGGTTGTTGTTTGACAGATGGGTGCTGTTGTTTGATAGTTATGTGAGTGCACCGTTTTGTGTGGTCCACAGAAGGCAAACACAGGAGGCAGTGTCCTGGTGGCATTATCAGATCCCTGCTGCTCTTTTCATACACACAGGTGGACCTAAGTTTGCAACTGTAGGTCTCGTTAATGAGCAGTGCTTACGTGTAGGGTTTCTTTGCAATTTAGATTTAGGTAAAGTGTGTTTATGACAGTCTTGGTTTACTGTAAGACTTTAACCACTATGCCCTTTAGTTAACCTGTTCTACCATATGTTTAGCAAGATGTGTTTACTAGTAATGGACGTGCCATCTGCTCTAAAGAGCAATTGCATGCTATTTTTACTTGATGGTAAACACCTTGCAGAGCAAGGTGTATAATTCTAATACCAAGATTTTGAAGGACTTACAGGAAAATCATTGAGCAATTGAGATAGAATTGTAATGACTGGTCTTGGATTTAAAAGCTCGTATTTTCTCTGTTCAGAAAAGTTAATCTTTTGCAAGCAAGAAAAAAATGTCATTATCCAATGCCGTATGAGAAAACAGTATTCAAGCAATTTATGAAGTGTCTTCGCAGATGCTCTGTGAAAGCCTGGCCAAACTCCAGTCCAGATCAGTATCCAAATACCTGCCCCCTTGTTTATTTCTGCTGTAAAACAGCAGTGCTTATGCAGGAGGATTTAAACAATATTTCATTGTTAAGTAGCTTGTCCTGTCGGGGTGGGGGGAGAGATGAAATCGAGTGCTGTGGTTTGGTTCTTATTACATATGGTGAAAAAGAAGTTGTGCATCCCTTCTCTGGCCAGTAAGCAGAACAGAACGGTCTTGGAGAGGGGAGTAGTGACGGCCGCAGTGTAGGCCGGAATCCTGCCTGATCTCTGAAATGGCTGCGAGAAGACGTTTTAGGGAAAAAGAGGGTTCGTGCTGCTAGAATCTACTGCTGATCCATTTGAAAATAGTGCTAGCTGTTGTGTCTTCATAACCTGTGTATATTCTTCTCACGCTTTTCTTTGCATATTGGTTCTTGGTTGTTTCTTTGTGGGTTTCCACAAAAAAACCACCTCTTGAGCCATACTCCTTACCCCAGACTGGGCTGGAGTCGTATTTGACATCTCTGCCAACACAGGAATCAGCCCAGGGCCACAGATTGAGACACTCAGAATAGAGCAAGAGCTTGGATGCATCTCTGCTGTGTGCTGCTGTTGGCTGTGTGGAGCAGCCGTGCCCTCCTCGTAAGCGTCTGTTGGGCAGTATTTCAAGATGCTCAATGTCAGTTATGCACAAAATTGATTTTGCTGACACTTTAGCTAAAGCTCTGGTCAGACTTTCCCTTGAGGGGGGTAATTTGCACCCCTCAGGTACTTCCATAGACTGAAGGAAGGCCAGCCTAAACTGGACATTGCATTGAGGGGAAACCGTTTCAAACCGTTAATCCTTCATTTCAGATCAGGGTAGGGATCATTTACCACGTGATTCTGGAAAACTGAGAAGACAGGCAAGTGTACACATAAAGCAGGAGGACAGTTGAAAATGAACAGTAATATGTAAATTTAATAATGAGCAGCGTATCTGTGGAAAAAACTTCTGAAAATGAACTGTTTTTCTGATGTTAAAACAGGCATCTGTTTACAGGTTGTGGATATCTGATGAGCAGATACATATCAAATGCCTGTTCTTTGGTGTAAACTGATATCCTGAAAGGAACATTTTTAAATAGCAGTAGGAGTTTTCAAGGGTAACCAATCCTTATCTGTCCAAGTGCCCATAAAAAAGATCAAAATAAACTTGTTTCAGTTATTCGTATTAGTTGTGGAATCTGCTGATAATCCATCGTTTGACAAATTACATTTGAGTTTAAAAGTATATCAGATTAAATATTCCAATGGTATGCCCTTTCTTGAGAAAAGTTTTTCCTCCCAAATCACTTGCTGTGGACAGATAGGGGTCTGGGTTTTCTTCTTTTTCCCCAGCAGTTATTATTTTGTGGCAAAGAAGTCGTGGCTCCCACCTTCCTATAGTCAGAGGAACTTCCCCCTGTCTATCAGTGCAGGTGCCCATAAAACAGGCTCAGTTCACACTGTTCTGGAGCCCCTCTCCCATCCTGCACTGCACCTGCATGGGCTGCAGAGACCTTCAGCCCTGGTTCTGTTCTGACAATGACCTCATCTGCGTGGGAGCATCATAGCCTTGGATTTGCTTCACATTCTTTACATAAAACCCATATAAATCCACTGAATTCCTGTGGGAAGTACATGTGTAAATTAAAAACAGCTAATCTGTCTAGAGATATGAGCCTGACCCCAGATGTGTGAGGTTAAGTGCTTTAGTATCCAAAGCTGTGCGATGAAATATGGGCAAGTTTAAGATTAGAACTGAAGGTGAGGGGTTTTTCTTCAAATCTAGTTCATAGTCCTTTGTTGCACTGAGTTTCATCACGGTGCAAAAGACTTTTTTCTTTCATCTAATTGTATAGAAGTGGAAATCCTACCCTCCTCCAAAGAATTCAATTCACATGGTTCAAATGAGCACCATAGATGGCAATTTACTTTATAAACAGGTTTCAAACAAATTACTTCAGCAATAAAAGAAAGTGTTTAAGGTGGACATTTTTCAGCAAATACTCGGGTTCTTGCAGTGCTTTTAATGGTGGTAAATTTTACATGAACATTTACTTTAAAAGCTTTTTGGTGTAATATAAATGATGCACTTGTTATCTCAAAGCTGTCAAGACAAAATCTAATATTTGTGAGCTGCTTGAACAGAAACTTTGTTTTATGCTCCCTGTGAATGAAAGTGGGCTTTTTACTGCTTCTGCACTTATTTGTATGTTGAGATGCGTCCTGCAGAGTGAGGTGAAGATGCCATTCCTTTAAAATTCAACCAATTTGTATTTTTCTTTGTGCACAACTCTCTGAATAAACAGAAATCTTGGATGACTGCTCTACCAATTGCAATGGGAACGGAGAATGCATCTCGGGACACTGCCACTGTTTCCCGGGATTCCTCGGTCCTGATTGTGCAAAAGGTAATTTCGTATTAACTGACCCACAGTGCGTGTCAGGGGTCGTGATTACGCTGTGTGGCTGCTGGGCTCGCCAAGATTCAAAGCGATTAAAGGAGATTAAATTCCTTTTCCAGCCAGATGGCACATACAGTACGAGCACACACGTGGAAAGTTTCTTTATGCCATACTTGAGCTAAGAGGCATCAACCACTTCCCTCTCCCTTTCGGAGTTAATAGATTCCTCCATCCCTCTTTGCATCTGCTCCGTGGTTATAAAATACACTTTTTAATAAGTGTGTTAGCTTAGCGCAGTGTTGTCTGTTACCTGAAAGTGTCAAACAGGTTCACCTGAGGGAAAATTGCATAAGTCAAATGCTTCTATGGTCTTAACTTGAATAGGGTGTGGAAAGAAACCCAGAGCAGCTTAGAGACTGTTTTCCAGCACTGGGGCAAAAAGACGTGCTAAAAAGATTGTAAGTGAACTTGTTTCAGATATTTCTGTCGATATTATCCATCATCTGCTGTATGTGATGTCTGGAAGTTCCCACGTTTTTCCAATGTTTCCTCAAATTTAAGACTGACTATATTTTTTAAGTGCTTGATTGGCTCAGAAATTGATACTGGATTGTAAAACTAAGCTTCCACGTCACTGGTTTGCACGCAGATCAGTAATGGCTAAAACCTCGGTAATGTGAAGTCTGCTTAGAAGAAAGCAGGAAAGGGCCGTGTCTTGCTTCATTTCACAGGAGGAAATATTAATCTTACTGACAGTCATAAGCAGGCATCACTGCAAAATTTCTGCAGAGGCCAATCAAGGAGGGGAATAATTTTTATCTTCTAAGAGACCCCATTTCAGGTCAAAGTATACTGGTGTGGCAGACCGAGGAGATGAGGATGCTGTATTGCTGCTGCACTACCTAGTTCAAAGATTTCAGTGTCACAACCCTCGAATTGAGAGGATCAGGCGGCCGGAGTGGAAAAACAATTTTCCAGAATGATAAATGCAATAAGTATTAATCTATGTAAGTATGTAACTACATTTAAAAGGTCAATCTGCCTTCTTCAGATTCCTGTCCAGTGCTGTGCAGTGGAAATGGAGAATATGAGAAAGGTCACTGCGTGTGTCGAAATGGGTGGAAAGGACCAGAGTGCGATGTTCCAGAAGAGCAGTGTATTGATCCAACCTGCTTCGGCCATGGTACTTGCATCATGGGCGTCTGCATCTGCGTCCCTGGATACAAAGGAGAGATCTGTGAGGAAGGTTTGTGAAATTTCCCTCTCTGTGGATAGGGGGGTTGATGTTTGTCTTTAGCATCCAAACCTGTTTTAAGGTGATGTAGACGTGAGATCCTCACTGTGAGGCAGTACTGTTTCGCTCAAAAGCACCTTTACTGTCTCATAGATGATAATGTTAAAATGGAAAACTATCACAGGTAAAGGCATTCCGGTCTCAGTGACGGTCAGTGGAAGCTGATCACATAATTTCCAAGATTCACTTTTTTATTCCAAAAGATTAAAATTACTTCACGTTGTCTAATAAGAATGCCTAACGATTGTAGTACGGGCAGTCCTCAGAAATCATCGGTTTATCTTTCGGTCCAGGAGGACTCTAGTTCTCAGATGATTTCTGTTCCCTCCCTCCACTGAATCTCAGTAGCCAGAACAGAACAGAGTGAAACGTTTTGCCCTTCAGCAAGCGATGTATTCTCAATCCTCCAAAAGTTTCCTGGAAAACATCCCAGCAAGCAAAGATTCCTTTTTGTGGTGAAAGTTGTGAGACCATCTTGATTCATTTGTCTTCAGTTTTCTTCTCTGAGGCTCCAGATCCCTATTTTTCAGGAAAGGTGGCTGGTATTTCCAGCCCTCTGTGCTGCCAGTACCCTCAGTCCCTTAGCACACACTGCCAGAGAGCCTGTGCAGGCTTTTTTACTTGGCCAAAAGCTAAGGGTAAGACAGATCATTTAAGCAAAATACAGTGAGATGGTTCTCCAAAGCAGTCAGCAGGTCGTAATCAGCTTTTCCCTCTCTTCATTCTGTTACATCTTAGATCTTTCCACAAAGAACATACTGACAATATAAAGCCAAAAGAGCAGCAAACAGTTTCCATTTACCAGAGCATACTGTGTCATTCTGGTGTTGTATGCTGTCCTTACTGTGAGCCTGTATTCAGGGCACTAAACTGGCATTCTTTAGGTCTTGGCTAATAAAAAGTGGGAAGCTCTGAGAACAAGTTATGGTAGTTTTGCTTGTTCTAGTACCATGTATCTGCCCTCCTCTATAGAAAAAAGTCGTTTGCCTGTTAGCAGTTCTGATATAGCTCATCAGCCTTGACTTTCTTTCCTTGTGCATAGCCTCAGAAAGCAGAGCTCTTCTTCATGCTTGCCCTGATCTGATGATTTTTCACTAGTCCCCTTAGCCTGAAGCTAGTGACAGCATACTCTGTGCTTCCTGCTATTTACATTTTTGGTCATTCCTCTGAGTAACACACAGAGGAGGCTCTTTATGCAGCTTGAATTCTCTAGTCAGAGAAATGTCCAGGATGGATTTGATGGATTTGACATACCTGGTACGGTTGTTAAAGGGAGGATCGAGGGAATGCTGCTGACATACTCAGTTGTTGGTAGTTTCAGAAGCCGGTAAAACCAAGATAACCCAAATGGGAAAAAACAAGTAATGCACAGATTTACTCACTGAGACCGTGATGTCAAACAAGCCTGTAGCTGATGGGAGCCTGACTGCAGTTTTCAGTTGCTTTGTTTCTTGCCGTAATGCGATCCTGCAAAAGGGTTGAAAAAAACAATTGAAGTAAATGTACTCAGACAGCTGTTGAATTTAAAAGTGTGAGAACACTGGATTTTTAAATTAAGAGATGTCTTTAAATCTTGTAAAAAGGTGGAATCATGTAGAAATACGGTGGATGAAACAAACCTGAAACAAACGAAACAAATACAGTGGGGTTTTATTGTAACAGTGTGTGCATGGCATGACTGCTCAGTTTCCTGTACTGTACAGCATCACTTGTGCAGTAGTGGAAGCAATTCTGTAAGGAATTCAGATTACATTATTTCATGTGAATATGAGTTCAGTATTACAGCAGTACTGTTAACATAGCAGACATATGAACAGATGTCATATCCAGGGAACACCAGTCGCTACATATATTCATTGCTATGGAAGTCCTTTGAATTTGTCCTGTCAGATTGTCATTACTAAAGCGAGTGATACTTTTAAAACTGTTTATGGAATCACTCAATTACTTTAAAAGATCGGAAAAATAAAGGGCAGTCTGAGGATGAGATAAAATTGCTGAGTATTTTCGTCCTATGCTTAGCAAGATATGCGTTGTCCAGAAGCACTGCTTCCCCTCTCTCGGAATTACACTGTGCTGTGCACAGGCCTAGAAGGCTGAAAAAGATACAAAATAAGTCTTGAAATAAGATCTGGAGTTTGTGGCATGGCAGCTCCAAAGATGAAGCATCACTTCTTTATTCTTAGGTCAAAAGTTCTTATAAACTTGAGGCCATTCATCTCTATGTCTGAAGTATTTAGTCTCCCCTTACTGAAGCACAGAGCATCTCTTCATCCGCGTAGGACAGGATACTGATTGTTAAGTTTACAGTTTAATTATTAAAACAGTACTTGTGCTGATACTTGAAAAACGCATACCAGAATTTTCAAATTCAAGAATTTTAACATTAGTCTGAAGCATGATCCAACTTGAATAGACTTTTGGCTGATTGTTTCCCATACTTAGACCCCACAAATTCCTTCTCAGCTCTGCAGTCTTACTACAGCCTCCAGAGAAGGCCGGCTGTGTTCTGCTTAAAGTCTCTCTTGTTAAAGAAATGCTGGGCTTTAGGAAAGAATATGCTGATTATACAGGACTAACCAGCTGATTTAAATTCTTCTACAGAGCTCCTGAATTTTTCACTAGGAATAGTTTAATCCAAATTGAGAACAAATTTAGCTCTTTGTCTGTTTGCAAATTGTTCATCAGTACGTTATGACTTTTATGAATCTGTTCATTATCTGCAATTGCCCAGCACATACTTTTTTATGAGTGTATGAGACTTTTTTACAGCAAGCATTCAGTCAGAGATTCACTACTCGGGGTTAGTGGATGGCCATTTGTTATGTATCAAGTTTTCAGCTGTAGAGAGAGTTTTCCACAGGAAGATGAAAGAATAAATCTTCCTTTTCCCAGATGTAAATAAAACACAGAGCACAAATACCCGAATGGAAACACGATGCACAAATGTAGAAGTAATTATTAATTGCTCCAGTTCTTTCCCAGCCCTGCTACTCAAGCACAGACTTCACTGACTTGAGCCTATAGATCTGTCTTGGGAATCTGCTTTTTAAAAATAAGGCAGTATCCTTGACACATGCAGAATTATATATGTCTAACAGTCTAAATGCTTGGGCTTTTTTCTTGGTTTTGACTTATACTTTTGCACAGCGTACACTGTTTTTTCCTTGTGCTAACATTGTTTCAGTTTGGGTATTTGCACAAAACATCACCAAATTAATCTGAATTCCTGATGTTGTATTTCAGTAGGAAATCGCTGTAAAGGTGCAAGTTTGATGCTCTAAGTTGTCTATTCCCTGCTTTCCAGAGGACTGCTTGGATCCGATGTGCTCCGGCCACGGTGTGTGTGTCCAAGGGGAATGCCACTGCTCAGCGGGCTGGGGTGGAGTGAACTGCGAGACATCGCTGCCCGTGTGCCAGGAGCAGTGCTCAGGGCACGGCACTTTCCTCCTGGACACAGGACTCTGCAGCTGTGAACCGCAGTGGACGGGTTCAGACTGTTCCACAGGTATGCTGGGCGTTTTACTTTTCCAATAATGCCTCTGCTTCTGTTTGAGTCGTGAAAGAAAGTACTTGCTATTACTGTGCCAGGGTGAATTTAAAAAACAAGGCAGGGATGAACCAGGGCTGCTGTGGCATGGCATTTAATGGCTTGTCAGCAACTGGCTTGCTTTTGACAAGGATAGAAGGGCTTTTTCTCTGTGACCAGGATGATGACTGCCAGATGGCGTCCCAGCACGAACAGTAGTCCTGCAAGCTTGCATCTCCTGGCAGGGATTGGAGTTAAGCATGACTTTCACATGAGATGTTGAGCACTTACTCGTCTCAGGCAATGGAGGAATCTGAGAAAGACTGGGTGGGTGTAAAAAAAATCATGATCTAAATGTAGTGACTGATGAGGAAGATGGCTACGTCAAAAAATCTTTAAACAAAAGTGACCATCCGTTCTCTCATGCTGGGATAAAAACTCTTTTCTTTCTTAGAGGACCGTCAAGGTTTGATCCCACTGAATTTGATTAAGAGTTGAAATGGATTTCCTATGTGCTTTTTGTACATTCACGTTTCGTTTTCTTGAAATGAATGCACTCTGGACATTTTACTCTGTAATGGAGCGTGTCATTACCAATGTACGTGCTACTATTTTTTTCACTTATAAAGCTCACAGAACCAGAATCTCCGATGATAAGTAGCACATCCCAGTACAGAATAGATCCAAGTGACAGGTTTGCTGAGTACTGTGGAATCCAACCAGTCGTCCAAGTCGCCAATTTTTCTTAGAAATCGTCATTCAAAAGAACACCTGGAACAGTGTAAATTTCCATTCAGACCTTTAAAGTTTGTAGTTATGGTCTTTAAGTTGGGACTTATGAAATGTCCCACTCCGTGATTACTTTTTAAGCAGCAGAACAGTAACCTGCTCATAATTTTCACTGTTTGCTACAAAGACTTCGCATTCGTGCTGCTCTCTGAAATTGATGCATGTAATTTTGGTCTGACACTGTCGGATGTGGTACCTGCTTTGAAAAAATTGACTTTCAGCAAAAGTCTGGTTGCTTGCATTTTTATAGTATGATTTATTATGTGTTAAAAATATTCCCTGAAGGTTGGTAGTATAGCAGTGCTTTAATTAAGGGAGCAAATACGTAGGAAAGGTGCTAGATGTGTAGTATTTTTTTAGTCACAAAATGTACAAATTAATTCTGATCTAATACAACGTTATTGCAGCTCAAAAAGAGATGTTAATCTCCAATAGGTCTGTTGTGTCAGCTGGATGGGTCAGTTAGACATTGTGTAAGGAAACGAAGAGCTAATAAATAACTGTGCAGTGGAGAGGCATTTGTCTTGCATGCTAGGATCATAGTTTCCATGTTTGTCTCATCTCCAGAGCTGTTTTGATTAATTTTTGGAAGAAAGGTAACTTTTTCCTGACCTCCATCAACCAGTAGGGTTCATGAATACATCCCTACTGTATTCTGAGTTATCAGAGAATGCTTTCACAACCACGAACAGGCATCTCTCTCTATAGCCGGGTACTTCAGCTTTCTCTTTTCAAGTGTATGTTTCTTCTTAGGTGTTGAACTAGATTCAGGATTGTTGAGGCAATACGAGTTTTAGACTGAAGTACAGACGTTCACTTGCGCTTGAGACTTTCTTCCTAGGATCAGCGATTGCTGTGCATACTGGAAATAAAGCTTGATTTTTAGTAAGGAGGGAAAACGTCAGATGAGCGGCTCAACGGAGTCAGAATAAGCGAGCTGTCATATGCAAACAGAAAAAATCCTGAGGTTCTGCACAATGAAGACGATGAAAAGGGTAAACCACAGACTGCTTGTCTGGAGTCGGACAGCACAGAAAGCTTTGCAACTGATGGATGAGCAGTCTCTCATCCTGCCTCAAACCCTTGCACTTTCCTGCCGTCTCTGTATGGACATCATCATTGCCAGTACTGTGAAAGTTTGCCTTTCTGTGTCACCTTGAGGAGTATAGGCTCCTGTCCTGGTGATTTCTGCATTCCCCAGCAAATTCCAAACACTTTCAAAATAAAACGATAAATTATTTTAAGTCTTGTGGCTTTCCTAAATGGAAATTAATATATCTTGCTGTACTTTAAAAAGGAGCAATAGCGAAGGTGCCAGAATGCTTTTGAGTAAATTGTCCCAGATGCAGTGTGGCCCGTCTGAAGAGGGAGAAGCCATCTCTGAGGTACTTTCCCCTGACTTCCCATCTCTCCAAACAATAAGAAATTCCATTTTACAAGAGGCAAACTGGGAAAGACAGAAATCAGTGAGGACAGGGAGGAACAGGGTTGAAGGGTGACTCTGAGACCCATGCATACCCTGAAGAATTGCCAGTGCTCAGAGACCCAACCTGAGACATGAAATCATTCATGGATTTTCGAGGCTGGAAAAGACCATGGTGTTCATGGTGCTTCCTGTTCTGTAGGACGTGTACCACAAATTTATCCCTCAGTTTCTTCTTGACACTCAGAATTTTTGTTTACATTTTAGAAATTCAACCTTTGCACAGAAAGTGAAAGTGAAAATTTTCTACCATGTCCTTAGGCAAATTGTTTCAGTTGTGCCTGACCCTCCCTGCTAAAAAGTGCGCCTTTACTCCCAGTTTAAATAGGTGAAAAATCTTACAATTATGTTTCTTTCTGTGAGGTGAAAGACTGTAAAATTCTTTGCCGAAATAATTATATTTTTTATCCTTAATGTTTATTAACAGAACCAATATTTTAAATCAGTTTGCTTCTCATAATGCTGCAGACACATATCTCTTGCTCTCCACCACCCTCCCTTTCTCTCTCTTTTTTCTCTCCCACTGTCTCTATCTCCACCTTTCCAAGAAGAATAATGCCAGGAAAAAAAAATGTGTGTATTCCTTGGGTTTTGAGTAGGCCTTTGGGAAGTATGAATGACCACGTAAAGTATGCATTTTTTCTTTTCCTATTGCTTCATAAAAATTTGCATCAAGGAAACACTGAAATTCCAAGATTAAATATTCAAAGGTCAAAGAAAGATGAAGGAACGTAACTCATCTTTTGTGTTTCTTTTGAAACAGATTTCATTTTTCACACTTAAAGAAACGCTCTTTTGCTAAGGATGGATGGCCTGATCAGTCAAGCAGTTCCTTGGTTTTGTACATACTTGCCCTTCTGCAGAGTTGCTGTACTAAAGACAATGTCTTGTTCTAATCTACTGAACTTCTCAGTTCAGATTCTACATGAAATTGTTTGAATACAACAAACACTGAACTGTGACATCGTTGAATTAATTGGTTGGTAAGAAGTGGCTAGTTTTGAAAAGGTGAAATAGTTTTTAAAAGGTTTATATAGTTTGAGGTGTATGTGTGTCTGAGAGAGCCCATGCACGAAAGCACAGAGTGATGGAGTGAATTGGATGTAGTTCTCCTCTTCCCTTGCATGGGGCATGGTTTCTAAAGAGGCTGCCAAAATGAGGAGGCCATAGCTGTGATCCACCTAAGTACTGCAGAGTCCGTTTTGGAAGCTTCTATATTAGGAATATGAATTCTGGCATTATTCCCTTTTTTGGGTCAGCAGCTAAATGTCTCAGATCATCCACTGAACTTCTTGCAATGCTTTTTCTGAAGAGCTCTTTGCTTTTCTTTAGGCCTTCTTTTTAAGGAATTAGTTTATTCTATTGAATAGAATAATTCAGCAGCCCTTTTAGGGCTCATTTAGGTTTAGTTTCTTCCAAGTTCAGTCATTCTTTGGCAAGTTGCACAAAAATGTCCCAAGACATTTGGCTGGTGCTGATTTAGCCCCCTGACCGTGGACATGCCCAAGAGAGATGCACAAGAGATTGGGTTCCGTTTCTCGTTTAGTCTCCCCCCCTCCTCTAAAAGGTGTGAATGGAGAGTTGGAATTTCATCTTTTGTTCCAGGTGAGACTGATCGTGAAATACTTTTTGTGAAAACTGGTCATCCTTGGCCTCTTTCAGAGTCTCAGCACCGTTACATCACACTGAATCCAGTTGTGGTTGTATGTGAAAATCCAGTATTATCCAGACCTTTAACGTGTGGCTTAGTTGACCCGGGCAGCATGATGATGATTTACTGTATACATGACAAAATAATACAGGAGGGTGGAAGACTGATAGTACACTATTTTAATGTCACCAGGACTTCAGTATAGTCAACTTTCTACTTAATGTCTGAGGATCTTTGATGCTTTATTTATAGGCTGTCATCCAAAATCCCTTGATGTTAATGAGTCATCTCCCTTTGAGTCGTATAGGCGGCGCGTTCCAGAAAGATCGCATCAAACTTGCGAGTACTGACTGCTGTGTCAGGTAGAAGGGAAGCTCTGGCTAATTGAAGCTGCAGCATCAACAAACCAAACAAAGAAGACTCATCTTCTGTTCTCAGATTGACTCCTTTAACATGGAGCCTTGAGTTTAAAGGAGCGAAATATCAAGAGAAAACAGATGACAGAGTTGTTCGGTGGGGCAGAGCCTTAGCTAGCGTAAATTAGTGATGCTAGCAGTGCTGATGCCACCGGTGCAATCCCAGTGTGTTTCAGGTGAGAATCCAGCCCTGAGTCGCTAATTAATTGCAGCACTATGCCTAAAATATTATAGATGGAAAAGTAATGAAATCTGTGACAAAGCTGATACCTTTGACATCCTGTCCTGTATTCGTTTCTCTAGACTCTATTCAGACAAAGTAGGCCAGTTTCTGTTCTCCTTACTCCAGGACATTTGTCATAATTCCACTGAATCCATTTATACCACTGAAGCAACCTAATTATGATTGGGAAAAGAATACTGGCAGTTCTTAGTCACAAAAACATTCATATTAAAATGATTATATGGAGATGGTATATATTTAGCATGTCTATTTTTGGTTAAGCTCTCTCCAGCAAGATTGGTGGCAATTTTACAGGGGTAAAAATGGATCAGCAGCCTCTTCCTTCAGTATCTTGTGAAGCATAAAACCTCTCTAAAACTGAAGTGCTTTGAAAAATGCAAAATGTTGTAATTGTTG